ATATATATATATATATATATATATATATATATATATATATATATATATATATATATATATATATTTAAACTCACACCTTGCATAGAGGTCTTTGTTAATCTTCTTAATAGCTATTATTTTAGTATATGTTAGACTCATCAGTTTAGTAAAATTCAAATATTGGTTACTAGAAGTTTAATTTAATATTAATAATTCAAACGTTTTTTGTTATTTATTTTTTAATAAACAACGAATATTGTCTAAAACTTTGAAAATATTACTAAATAATGACTTTAATAACATATTTCAACACAATCAAAATCAGAAAATCGTCTGTATTTCCATATAATTATCAAAAAAAATTTTTTTTTAATATTTTAAATAAACAATGAGCGATGATTAAAACCTCTTGAATATTATTTAGGAGGATGTTCTTGAACTATATATTAAGGTAAAATTCATTGGTGAAAGGTAACGGAAGGTAAATATTGATAAAAAAAATGTTTTGTCTTACGTTTTTAAAATACTCTTTGAATATTTGTGTAGCAATATTATTATGTAATATTTTCAAAACAGCCATAGAACATTATGCAAAAACGTTTTATAAAAATATTTGTAATATCAATATTTAAAAAAGTAAATATGATATTTTTTGTTTACTGGAAATCTTTCTTGTTTACTGGGAGGTTAATGTTGCGGATAATCTTCAGGTGCGCGAGCGTTTGCGCGTGGCCCTTGAAAGAAATACGAGTCTCGAAGAGGAACTGGTCCATATCAAAGAAGAAGTGAGTTTTACACTTTTTGTCATAAATATATAAATTAAAATATTATATTTTATTAAATATCAAAATATATTATTTTGTTGACCTAATGTGCAAGTGCGATTACAGCTTCAGCAGTATAAAGTAAGCGGACACCCATCAAAAGCCATAGAGGATAGACCGAAAGAGAACGGGCAAGCGGATGAAGGTCAGCAGCAGAATAAGGTATTAACGAATTATCAAAATATAATCTAACTAAGTCATATATGTGCATAAACATTCACAGATCTTCATGTACACACGTATTGCTTTTCATATATTTCGAATTAATCATGGATAAGCGGAAGTACTTAAAATTTGTCTAAGAGTCGTGAAATGCATCTGTGGAATTTTTTCACTTTGCATGGTCATATGTAGCATATCTCAACTTATCGACGTTTCATTTAGGACTTTCTTCGTTTTTCTCTTTTGTTTTTTTTTTTTTTTTTTTTTCATATCATCAAAGTACCACAAATCTTTAGTTTGAACAAGAGACATATCAAATTAAATAATTGGTAACACAATTATATTATTGTTATAATCTCATCAAATTATGATACGTCACTATTGCAATATAACATGTTATTGTTTTATTAAAACATCTTATAAGAAGATGGTACGAGTTGCGAAATGGAATAAGTCATAATTAATTTCAAGGGAGTGTTGAATATACTAATTGTAAAAGATTTTGAGTGCATAGCTTTCTGAGAAATTTGCAATTAAAGTTGGACATTCGCTCAGCTGTAGTACAGCTACTAGTATCATAACTTAAGTTTGGTAAGAAGTAAATAAAGCGCTTTGATAGAGCAAGCTAAGGCGCAAGCGTTATATTTTTACATTAGCGACCAATAAAAGTTTGAATTACTCGAATTCTATTAACTTTATCGAAAAATAGCCAGAGATAAAATTGTTTATTTTCTTTTCTTAGAGCTCTGAGAATTTTTTAAGAATGTTTTAATTAACTTTTTAGTATTTCATTTCTTGCATTTTCATGAAGTACTAAAAAGTTTTTAAAAAATTTTGAAAATTTCTCAGAGCTCTATATGAAGAAAATAAATAATTTTTATCTTTTGCTATTTTTCAGTAAAGTTGATAGAATTTGGTTTCCAGGTTTAAGCCGCAGGAATTCTTCTTTGTTTGATTCCGACGTTTCGCGAACATTTCAATCCGCTTCATTAGGGAGGAACGACGCGATGCATCGCGTCGTTCCTCTTTAATGAAGCGGACTGAATCAAACAAGGAAGAATCCATGTGGTTCAAACCCGGAAACCAAATATAATATGCATGGACACCGCGAAAGCCTAATATATCAAAGTTGATAGAATTCGAGTAAAAAATTATTGAAACTAATAATTTTGTAGATATTTCCGTCAATATCTTAGGAAATAGAGGTCGTATAAAAATTGTTTTCAAATAAAAGTTGTTTGTTTCTTTACGTAGAATAAAATTCCGTAATAAAAAAATATATGTTTCTAGTTAAAAAAGCAAAGTTGACCTCAACCTGACGTTGGCGTCGCCACCCAAGATAAAACCAATGGTATTCTTCTTATGTTCTCCATCGAACCATATAAATTTGTTTTAAATATTTTTCCGTATTTTTTGTATATTTCGAGATATTTCGATGTGAAAGTTAAAATGGGACACCCTGTATATACAAAGAACCCCTGTATGGTATATACTATATATACCATAGGAAGAGGGTGTACTAGGTGGCGGCGGGACGCCGTACGTTCGGGATCTTTTCGTTCCAGAGAGAGAAAAATATCGAGAGCGTGGTTTGCTAGACCGGGACCAGTGATAGAAACTTTGCTCCGCGAGCAGCACGCATTAACACGGGAGGGGATACCCAACCCTCACACAATCGTGTCCGTGAGGCTCATGAACACAGTCGTGTGAGTATATGGGTATCCCCTTCCGTGCTGATGCGTGCTGCTCGCGGAGCAGTTTCTATCACTGGCCGAGACTCGAACCCGGGTCTTTCGCTTGTCGGGCGACTGCTTTAAACCACTGATCTACCTGACGCTCCACGCTCACGACACTCTCCCCTCTCTAGATAATGCTCAGAGATGCAGTTTGGAAGCAACATCTCTGGTGCGATCTCGAGCGCACTGCGACTACATTGTTACTGAGAGAAACATTGTTACTGTACCAACCCTGTATATATAGGGTGTCTCATTTTAACTTTTATATCGAAATATCTCGAAAAGTACAAAAAATATGGAAAAATATTTCAAACAAAAATTATATGGTTCAATAGAGGACAAAGGAAGATACCATTAATTTGACCTTGGCTAGTGACGCCAAGGTCAGGTCGAGGTTAACTTTGCTTTTTTAAGTAGAAACATATTTTTATTCTATATAAAGAAACAAACAACTTTTGTTTAAAAAAAATTTTTATATGACCTCTATTTTCTAAGATATTTACAAATATCTACAAAATTATTGATTTCAATAATTTTTTATTCGAATTCTATCAACTTTATCGAAACATAGCAAGAGATAAAAATTATTTATTTTTTTCTCATAGAGCTCTGAGAATTTCTTCAGAATTTTTTATAAATTTTTTAGTACTTCAAGAAAATACAAGATAATGTAATACTAAAATAGTCTATTTTAATTTAATTATTAATTATATATAGTAATTTATTATAAAATAATATATTTTACGAAGATAAAAAACACCAAGTATATAGAAAACGCCTAAATACGTATGTAACAAAAAATAATGAAATGTAAGAAATATATTAAACATATATTGTTAAAAAGAAATATTGCTAAAAAATATATGAGATCAAATAATTAACCACATGTATAATATTGCAGAAAAATTTATAAATAAATTGCGGTATATATCTGTATTAAAACTTATTGAAAATATCAACAGAAATATTATAAAGATTTAAAGGAAACTAGTAAAATTTACTAAATATTAGTAACTATACTTTGAAATATTTGGTTTAGAAATTGAAAAAAAATTGAACATTGGAACTCTCAAAAACTTGACATGACCTAGTTGCATTTAAATTTACTTTCCTTCTTATAAAATATATATAGAGAGTATTAGATTTAATTTCCGGAATTGAGCTGCGTGAATTCTGCTTTGTCTGATTTCGACGTTTTGCGAACATTTCAGTTCGCTTCATCAGAGGAACGATCCGATGCCGAGTTGCTCTTGAGAGATATCCATTTATACAGGGTGTTTCAGAACAATCTACGAAGCTCTCGTGAGAACGTAGAGCGGGTAAATAAATCTAAAAGTTCTATACCGTTTTGCGGTATAGAAACTGAACAACTCTAATATAAACAAAAGAACGAGACACAATCATCGTTTTTCTTCCATATATATAAAGAATTACAAACAAAATTGGCAGAATTCTGAAAAAACACGATATCAAAACCATTTACAAATCAACAATAAAAATCGGATAATATCTAAACAACATAAAAGACAAAAAGCTTCACTAGACACTCCAGGAATATATAGAATACCTTGATCCTGCGGCAAAGTCTACATAGGAGAAACCGGGAGGATGGTAAGCACACTTATAAAAGAACATCAAAACACAATAAAATATCAGTATTAACTAAGACCAACAATTATTTGCCTAGAAGATATAGGGAGTTCTTAGAATAGCGGGTAATTTTGGGAATTGGACTAATTTCTGGCTCGTTGTCTCTGTTAAGATTGTTGAAATTCTTTTGAATTTCTAAGAACTTCCTGTATCTTCTAGACAAATAATTGTTGGTCTTAGTTAATACTGATATTTTATTGAACAGGATTTTTTACGCTTTTTACGATGTGTTTTGCTAGTGCTGATTGTGTTTTGATGTTCTTTTATACGTGTGCAATCCTCCCGGTTTCTCCTATGTAAACTTTGCGCAGGAGCAAGGTATTCTATATATTCCTGAAGTGTCTAGTGAAGCTTTTTTGTCTTTTGTGTTGTTTAGATATTATCTGATTTTTATTGTTGGTTTGTAAATGGTTTTGATATCGTGTTTTTTCAGAATTCTACCAATTTTGTTTGTAATTCCTTATATGTATGGAAGAAAAACGATGATTGTGTCTCGTTCTTTTGTTTGTTCTTGGAGTTGTTCAATTTGCGTTTTGGTTTTTTCTGGTTTTTTTTTATTATTTATCTATGTTACTGTGTAACTGTTTAGCCGTATAGCCAGCCGTGTAGCCGTTTTTTTTTTTAAGAGTGTGCCTTAGATTTTTAAGTTCGCTTTGAATGTTGTTTTTATCGTATATGATAAATATTTTGTGTATTAATGAATCGAGGGCTGTTTTGATTGTTTTTGAGTTAAATGATAGCATGATTTGGCATGGAAATATCGATTGGTGTATGTAGGTTTCCTTTAGACTTGATGACTTAGGAAGCCATTTGTTTTTCTTATCATTAGGACGTTTAGAAAGAAGAGTTTGTTATTTTGTTCAACTTCCATTATGAAGGTAATATTGGGATGTTGTGTATTGAGTAGGTGTAGGAATTCATGAAATTTTTTTTCGTTTTGCCAAATGATAAAAATGTCATCTATATATCGGAGGAATGTTCAGGGTTTTAACTGCCATTTTTGGATGGTTTGGGATTCAAAATGTTCCATGAAAATATTTGTTATGATTGGGGAGTTTGCAGGTTCCATGGTTGCACTTGCGATTTGTTCTGAACCTGACTGGCCAACAAATTTCCCCTCTCCTCGGGTACCATCTTTTATCTCGCTGCTTCCTCCTCCCCTCCATGTCAATCACTATATAAAGGGATACCTCTCAAAGGCAACTCGGCATCGGATCGTTCCTCTGTTTTCCATTGCTTATACTTATACCGCTGCGCTCCTATGTTTTGCCGCACCGTGCTGAGGCAAGATGTAGGAATCACGAAATGTTTGCGATTCGGAATCAGACAAAGAAGAATTCACGCAGCTCAAACCCGGAAATCCAAATCTAATATCTGGATTTATTGAAGTAGTAACAGCAAATTGTACAAATAAATATTTTTTTGAAATACGATTTCTAGTCAAAATATCAAAGTAGACAACTCCTCATAGGAGGCGTTAATTAAAATAATTGATTTATCTGAGCGCAGTCACTATTTGTTTTCGTTATATCTTAGCATTTTTTTTGTACTAATTAAACTGATTGTTATTGGAAAGTATAACTTTACTGTCAAAGGTTTTTGTTCATTTGAACA